AGAGTAATGATAATTAAATTTTAACAGGTATTAGAAAAGGATTGTGCTGGGATGAGGAAGGAGAAAGATAAGATGCAGAATGACATGCTTCATTTGCAAATTAATTTGGAAAATGCAAGGGATCAATTAATTGAAGCAAATGGAATGTGTGAAGCATTGGAAGAAGCACGAATTAAAATTGAAAGAGATTTCAAAAGGTAAACATTGGCAGTTTATTAATTTAATTAAATTAAATTTAGTTTAATTTCATTAATCATTTAATTAAATTATACATAAATTATGATAAAATTATCTGAAACATAGTAATACTTTATTAGTGATAATTGTTATCAATTGAATATTAAGTGCTTGATTTGAGTGATAATAGCTAATGTTATCATTAATGTTTGATAATTATCACGGAATAAATGGTACAAAAAGTGCAAAATTTGGATGAATTTATGAATAATTATTTAGAATTATTCAATTTGCGCACAATATTTACTTATAAATATGACAAAAAAAAAGAAAAAGTACAGTGCTAATAAAAAATTAAAATAGTAAATATTTAAAATAATTCAAATTACTATAATTTTTCCTTTTTTTCATTATTTAATATTTTATTACAATAATATTTGATTATAGATTTCGTGAAGAAGCACAGCAGGATATCGATAGTAGTTCAGAATTGGTTGAAGAACTTTCGCGACAAACGGATGAATTAAGGCGACAAAAAAATGAAACCTTGCCAAGAACATCAGTTACAGAACAGGTTTTGATATTAAATTTTTCCTTCAATTAATTTAAGTGATTGATTTTGTTAACTTAATTAATTAATTTCCATAATTAACTTTAAGATTATTTTTGTTCTTTTTTATTTTTATCCTTATTTCTATTTTTTACTATTGTTTCTTGTTGTCTTATTTATTACGAAATGTGATCATTTGAATTTTATTAAACCTAGTGAATTAAATATTATTAGCAACTGATAATATGATATTACATTTGAATATTTCATTTTAACTTTTGATATTTTTCCATTTTTCTCCTGTGTACTGTTTAAATCATTCATTCATACAATTCATATAAATAATTCGTAATCAAACTTTCTATTTCTTTTTTGAGTATCGCAGTTTTTTTATTTTGAATTATTTTAATTTAAACATTTTTTTCAAATATTTTTCAATTTTATTAAAAAGAAAAACAATTTTTCTATAGATATTATCATTGGAAAATGAAATGAATCGATATCGGAAAGAGAACAAAGAATTGAAACGGCAAAATGAAGATTTACAAGCTCAATTAATTCATGATTCCATTGAAGCTGGTCAAAATTTGTTGAAAAATTTTGATGATGAACCAAAAGCATCATTAGCTGAAGAATTGAGTGGCAAAGATTCCACTGAGGTTTTCTACCAAACTTTCTTTTTTTTTTAAAATAAATAAATAAAATTGAATAGGAATTTGCAAACAAATATGTTAACTCAAAAGTTTTAAAAATGTTAAATTTATCAAAAAAAAAAAAAAAGGAAGAATGTAGAATAATTTTAGCTAATGAATGCATTAAAAGAGCAAGAAATATGTAATCAAAAATTACGAAATTATATTAATGGTATTCTGATGCGGGTTATCGAATTGCATCCAGAAATTTTGGAAATTAAAGAAAAAGATGAAAAAGAATCATCAGACAGCAGTTGACAATTTCACGATCAGGTTCTGTCATTTCTCATTTTTATACTTACTTTTAAATATTTGTTGAAAAAGATGAAAAGAAAATTGAGTTATAAATTTATTACTGTTAACAAATTTGATGTTTAAATAGGATTTAAATTTATTTGAAGTTTAATGCGACCGAATTTTCATTTAAATCGAATTTAAGAATCGAATATTATCAAATCGAGTTTAAAAAAAAAAAGTATAATAGGGTTGGAGATTTTGAATTATAAATTTTTGACTATTTTTTAAAATATACATATTTTTTGGTTCCCCTTTTTTTAATTCATGATATGTTGATTTGAAATTGAATAATAGTATTGAAATTGAATGATAGCATCGAAATTGAATGATTAGTATTGAAGAATTTTATTCATTAATTTTCTTGAATTAATCCGAACACAAAAAGAAAAAATTCAATCTTTGGAAATTCTAGAAGCAATGTACTTCAAGATCATTACCTAATGAACCGCTTCCCTCACAACAGCATACAAACGGATCAACGCTTAACAAATCACGTTTTACGTCAAAAGAAAACTTCACAACAATGCTTTACAATTATTGGTCCGCGGATTGGAATATTTTTCGTTCTACACCATCATAATCATAGTATTGGTTGATCGGTTAATTGATTGATCGATCAATTTATTGATTGATGATCAAAGGATTATGTTGTATAGGATGAATATAACCTAATTGTATGTTTTAAAAGAAATAATGGAAATTTTTCAATTTAAAAATTATATTTAAAATTTTTATATCACAATTTAAAAATATTTTTCTCCTTTTTTTTTTAATTAAAATTTATTCTTAAAAGAGAATTAAATGTTATTAGACAAATTATTACTTGCAGAAAAAAAAAAGAAAAAATATATAAAGTAAATTTACTAAATGAAATGATAGATATTATTGATTGATATAACAATATTAGGTTAAATAACATTGCTTCTGATCGATGTTCATATTTGCCTTTTGTAATTTCTTTTTCATTTTTTTGCTTTTTTCTTTTTCTCTTTCTCGTTGTATAAAATTTTGTTTATTTGTCTTGTTTGTGTATTTTGTTCAATTAAATATCTTTTTTTTTTTTGCTTTTAAATTTTAAAATTTATAAATGAATTGAAATATTTCAAATTGCATTTTTGTTTCTTTTTTCATTTGTCATTTCTTTCCTTCCAATCATTAATCGATTAGCTTTAAATCTTTGTAAATATTTTTTTTTCCTCATTTTATTCAAATATTTGAAAAATATTCAAGAGAAGGGAGAAATTTTAATATTTTTCAATTAATAATTTTAAATATTTGTATTTTTGCACTTTCCATTTTCATTCTTTTTCTCTTCTTGGAAATCTAACAAATTTGAAATTAAATTTAAATTGTTTTATTTTCTTTTTCCATCATTTTCCATCTGTTCATTTCATGCTATTTTTATAATTTTAATTAACAAAATTGCTTTATCACATTTAAAGTGAATAATTTGATGAAAAAGAAAAAAAGAACGAGGATAGTAGATTGATTGCTCTTTTTTCCTTTCACTATTTTGATTTTCTTTTCTTTTTTATTTTTTGTTAAAGAAGTATTGAAGTTTTTTTTTTTTTTGTAAAAGTTTTCCATTTTAATAATTTTGCTAAATATATTATGTCTTCCTCTTCACCTTTCCCTCCCCTCTTTTTGTATTATTTGTATTTTTTGTAATTTTATTTTCATATAAAAATTCTCATGCAACATCTCAAACTTTAAATGTTTGAAAATTTTTTACAATTATAATCATTGCTTTGATAATTCATTATCATATCATGCCATAATTTAATCATTACAACAATCCATTAATACTGGATTAGCGTTAAATTTTTTGCATAATAATCGTATAATTCTTATTGTTCAATTCATGTTTATTATTTTATTTGTGATATTGAAGGAAATCTTACGTAAATACGTATGTCTACGTAAAGATGTTATTATTGCAAGGCAAAATTTATCATAAACAAACCAATGTTTTAGTTAAATTTTCGAAATTAATTACTGTATTATATTCCCCTGATAAAACATCTTTTTTTTTTTTTTACTAATTATTATTTTAATTTAATGCCAAATATATGCAACAATATTGCATAAATAAGATTATAATAGTGGAAATTATTAATTAATAATTAAAAATATATGTTATCTGTAAATTCACACTATAAATTGTTAAAATTAAAACAAATTACTTTTTTGAGAATTAACATTTTAAAATTAACATGAAATATTTTAAATTTCCTTATCATACAGTAATTTTTTCTCTCATTCTTTCAGCCATTCAAATTAGTATTATATTTTAAAATTTTAATTCAACTTTGATTTCAGATTTAACTTTGTAATTTGATCAAAAATTATTATATACCAGTTGAAATTTCCCAATAATCTATTTGAAAATTCTATCTTCTCAAATAAAGCATAAACAAAAAATAAATAAATTAGTGAAAAATTCTCCGTCAAAAATCATCCATTTGAATTTTGTTTTTATTAGCAATAAATAAAAAAAGAAAAATCAAAAATTAAAATCGAACGCATTTTTTGAATTTATTTTTTTATTAACAAAAAGAAAATCAAAAAAATAAAATCGATCGTATTTTTTTTTTGATGATATAAGAGATGTATAACTTTGATGTAATCTGAATTCCCAAGACTACTGCACATTATCGCCCACTTGTTGAGCGCAATTAATCATACAAAAATTATTTTAATTTACTAAGCATACAATGATATAAGCTTAATCAACTTTTCAAGTTAATTAATAAGTTTCGCAATGCTAATTTTTTCATATTAAACAAATCGTTCATTTATTACAGTTAATACAAGCAAGTAAACGCAGCCATTTAATAATCGAATGACACTTCTGAAGGGAGAAAATTTTTCTTTTCTATTTAAAATTATAAATGATGGAGTAAATAAAAAAACAATGAGACAAGTACAAATTTAAGTATTGATTTTGATGAATGTTTAATTTTAATGGAATAATATTGATATTTTTTATTGTTAAATTTAAAAGTTTGGAAATAAAACAAGAATGCATATACATTAATAAGAATAAATGATTTCTAAAGTTTTCAAACTTTTTTTTCGCTTTAAAAAACTTTAATACGACAAACATTTGCAACAGTGGAGAATAATGACATATTTTACGCATACAATAAATTACATACAAAAAATTTTAATATATTTAAATTAAGTAATTCGATAACTTTATGATAATGTGTTTACGCTTTCAATGACATATTTACGAGTAATTAAATTATTAAAATATTACGTATTTTACGCATACAATTAAATTAATAACAGAAAAACAAAAAACACTTAGAACGTCGAACCTTTCCTTCCTTTTCACGTTTCGCATTAAGCTTCTCTTCAATATCTGTCAAGATATTGTAACTCTCAGACAGTTCATCGTCCATTTGTTTGTAATAATTGTACACTTCTTGAAGAATTTTTAAAATCTAAATTATAAAAATTATTTCAAGAACTTAATTAATAATTCTTGATATTTACCTATTTCATGCCTATTATTTCCTCTCAATTTTAAATTTTCAAAATGTTTTTTTTAAAAAAAGATTTAAAATGGGATAAAAAATTAAAAAGGAAAACAAAAATTATTCCAATAAAAATTATTTTCATTTTAAAACCCTTTTTCATTTATCCTGATTTTAACGTTAATTTAGTTCTCGTTATTACGTATAAAAATAGAATTTAGAAATGTTTTTTTCGTCAAAAAAATTCAACAAGCGATTAATTATATTTTTCTAAAAAAGAGGATAAGATTTAAAATCGCATAAAAAATTAAAAGGCAAACAAAAAAATTAAAAGGAATTAACAAATTAATTATTTGTTACCAGATAATGCAATAATCATCCAACAACATGAAAGTATTTCATTAATATTTGACTTTTTCATTCGGACGATCAATAAATAATCAAACAAATATTTAATAATTTATCAAAAAACTAATCAATCAACTAATTATTATCAAATAATTCAGCAATAAAATTATACATTATCCCCACTAATAATTTACCTCAGTAGCTGAATCTCGAACATTATCAATGCGTTGAAGTGCGTCGATACTGTCACCAAAATTGTCACCATTCAAAATATTCTCTTCAATTTTATGAATTCGAAGTCGAATAATCGGCAAACGATGCCATTTCTTCAATGCATTCTGTTTGTTCGCATTTTTTTTCCATTGCAAATGCATTCCCTTTTATTTTTAATGCTTGCAATTGATTGTTTGCTTCGTCGAATTCAAATGTTTGATACAATTCTTGGAACTGCAATTATTTCCATCAAATTATTTCAGTAAACATTATATTATCATTCCCATACTTCTACATAACCTACCAATTGCACACTTTTATTTGAATAAAATAAAAAAAAGAAAACGAAATTCATGATTATATCTATCAAATTATTTCCTTTTTTTAACATGTTAATCTAAGCATTGAATGATTTTCCATTCGGTTATTATAAAATTTTCATGCAATCTATTATATTTATCATAAAACTTTTATCTAATCTATTACATTTAAATATATCTGCTATTTAATTATATATTATTAAAAATGCATAATCTATTACACTTCATTATTTATTATCGGTCATAACATTCTGTGATCCAAATATAAACTTTTCGTTTCTTCCCTATTGTTTAAATTTATTTAATGAGTACGAATTTTGATATAAGATTGTAACCTTTGCTACTTTGTCTTTCCAATCTTTTGGATCACTTGGATTTTGCAACCATGCAGTTGAATTGATCAATGAAATTTCATTTTCAATCTCATCAAGATTGTCAACTCCCTAAAATATTACTTATGCACTCACTTACCATTTATTACATTTAATTAAACATCTAAATAGCAAATTCGAAGGATTTTAAATGGATGAATGATTAGCAAATAATTTATGCATTAATAATGAGTTTTGATTATAATTAAAGTTTAATTGCTCATTTAACATTATAAATTATTTTCCAATGATCATATTATAAAATAAGAAAATATGTATTCATTAGTAGCATGATCTGTTTTTTTTT